CCAAGGGTAGAGCCAAGGCCAGGACAACAGAGCCAAGAGCTCCAAGGAAGCGGATCAGGAGCCAGTCCTGGCAAGGGTTGGGGGCAGAACGGTCCCGACTACAGGGTTGATCAGGGCCAGCACTGGTGCTTGTGGGCACAGAGCAGGGCAGGGCAGGGTGGGCTGGCGGGAGGGCCCGTAGCAAGCAGACAGCACCAGCCCTGGGCATGCGCCCTGCTCAGCTCCCTTGCAGCAACATACCCATGATTAAATGCGAATGCTTCCTATGAAAGGCTGCTATTCTCAGCAGCTGCTTAGGAAAGCAAGCATTTTCCCCGCTCTCAGTTGTTTTCAGTGGTGCCCGACCTGGAACTTTATTCCATCTGACATCTGATCATCCACCTGATAGGTCTCTAAATACAAAAACACCCTCATGCAGCGACTTCCTAAAATCCTGATCAAAATAATGGGGAGCTGGGGACTAGGGTGTTTGGAGCAGTGATTAAAAAACCCACATCCCATATCAGAGTGCCTGTGTTCAAGTCCCAGCTTCTCTTCCAATTCCAGCTTCCTGCCAGTGTGCACCCTGGGAGGCGGCAGTTGATGGCTGAAGAGATTGGATTCCTGCCATTGATGTAAGAAACCTGGATTGAGTTTCTGGCTCCTAGGCACTTGGGAGATAAACCAGTGAATGGGATCTCAACCAATCTCTCTCTCTCTCTGACTCTAAAATGCATTTTTAAAATTTTTACTACTAATAGGTAATTATAATAAATACAAATAGAGAGCCTCCAGTCCTTTCCACTTTTCCCCTTAACTGCTGAGATTGGGCTTCCGGAAAACCACAGATGACTCAGCTCAACAGTTCTCAAACATTCTAGTGCCCGAATCCCTTTTCCCTTAAAAGTTGAGATTTCTGGGGCTGGCGCTGTGGCATAGTAGGCTAAGCCTCCACCGGCAGCACCAGCATCCCATATGGGCCCCAGTTCATACCCCAGCTGCTCCACTTCCATTCCAGCTCCCTGCTAATGCACCTGGGAAAGCAACAAAAGATGGCTCAAGTACTTGGGCCCCTGTACCCATGTGGGAGACCTGGAAGGAGCTCCTGGCTCCTGGCTTCAGATCAGCCCAGCTCCAGCCATTGCAGCCATTTGGGGAGTGAACTAGTGGATGGAAAACCTCTCTCTGTAACTGCCTCTCAAATAAATAAGTAAGTCTTTAAAAAAAAAAATGAGGATTCCAAAGTGCTGTTGTTAACGTAGGTTCACCAGATTAGTAGTCAAAAGTGAGAATTCTAAAGTGCAGCCAGCGGTGAGGACCACTGGGCTGCAGTGGGCTCAGGAGGCAATCCACCTGGACCTGCGCTCCTTTAGTTACATACAACTCACCTGTTGTGTAACCAACCTCAGGCCATTGCACCCATTCAGTTGACTTATCTATACAATGGGAACACAATGAGAGGTGGTGTGAATATTCCTTGAGATCATCCATATTAAAGTTGCTATGGGGGCCGGCACTGTGGCATAGTGAGTAAAGTCGCCACCTGCAGTGCCGGCATCCCATATGGGCTCTGGTTCGAGTCCCAGCTGCTCCACTTCCAATGCAGCTCTCTGCTATGGCCTGGGAAAGCGGTAGAAGAAGTCCTTGAGTCTCTGTACCCACGTGTGAGACTCAGAATAAGCCCTTGGCTCCTGGCTTCAGATCAGCCCAGCTCTGGCCGTTGCAGCCATTTGGGGAGAGAACCAGTGGATGGAAGACCTTGCTGTGATGGGTACAAAGTATGAACTCAGACTTGCTAAGTATAAGCTGCTACTGCTTGTTATGGTGATGAGTTGTATGGGTCAGCAGCCCCTTTCAGCTTCAGGGATGAGCTTCTCCAGGGGAGTTGCCCCCCACACTGGACAAGACATCCCAGGAGGAGTTATGGCTCCTGCCCCAGGGCTGCCGCAGGGCAGATGACCAGCCTGCACCTTTGTCCTGCATCTGGAAACCACAGGAGCCAGTGACTTCCCCAACGCAGGATTCAATCATAGACTTTTCAGGGAACAAGAGAGCTCTTGGCTGAGATTTGTAAAGATGATGTCACTAGAAACAGGTGCAGGAGGAGGGGGCACAGGGCACACTGACAGTGTTCACAACAGGTGTATGTGTGTGTGTGTGTGTGTGCACATGCACTGGTAGTCAGATACTGCTTTTCCATTTAAAATTTTTTTGGAACACGTCAAATGTATCCCAGATGACAGAAGGGAAAACCATAATGACCTTTTTTTGGCCTGTGACTGTCCCTGGAGACCTGAAACGAATGAGGCTTTCTCCTCATTTGTGCTTGGGGACATCATCATTACGTGTCACAGGCCGTGTCCTGCCTCCGAGCTCATCAGATCCTCCACCACAGCAAAGAGCAACATTAACAGGGGCCAGAGGAAAAGGGAAGGGCCTGGCACACTCTCCGGGCAGGCAGCACAGCCAGGACTCAATATTCTCATTAAGAGGCAGGATGAATCATGTAACGCTTCTTCTAGAATTACTGGACGTGGACGGTTCCCCCAGCTGTCTACAGTGTGGAATCTGAGAACCTCCAAACACAGATGTGCTGCCGAGTCTCCTGACACCCATCCTGCAAGACAAGCCTGCTGGGCTGGTGACTGGCTGACTGCCCTCTGGGTTCACTGGCTTTTGCAAATTCACACACAGAGATGTGCCAAGCAGGCCGAGGTAACTAACCAAAATGAACTGGAAGGATCGTCGAGGGCAGCCCTGCGCCTCTTGGAGAAATTATATCTAATCAGCCAGGACAAAAAGCTGTTCAGGCTGCCTGAGACCACTCAAGGAGCTGTGAAAGCAGGAAGATAATTGGATCCAGGACTCCACACAAAGGCTAATCCTCCAGATCCTGCAGGTCAGGTAGCAATTAGCCAGTCACATTAAGGGATCAGCTCTCACATCCAGGTCTGCAGTACTGATCCTAGGCTGAGCCGTGGACGTGCCGGGCTGATTAATGGGGCAGAAGGCCAGCCACAGACCAAGAGCTCCCCTTCCTGCCAGCCCTACTCTGGCTGCAAGACAGCTCTGGTTCCAACAGAGAAAGTAACTGGAAGCAACAAAGGTTGGTGGGATTTCTTTTCTCTTTATGGTGACAGTCAACATCTAAATGATGTTCCATCAGCAGCCAATTTATTAGCTTGAAAATCCTAGCCTAACTGCTTAGGCTTTGTGAGCATGCTTCCCTCTATCGGGGGGGGGGGGGGGGGGGGGCTTTCCTTTTCCAAATGAGCATCCTTCCTCAGCTGTCCGTCTAAGGGTGGCACTGAAGGGCCACCATCCGGAGAAAGTGCTGGGTGTGGTCCTTGTCTCCCCAGGACAGCCAACCCTGAGGTCCATTTGAAGGATGGACAGCAGGCCCCTCACCAGCTCTGAATACACTACAAAGAAAGTGCCTCTGCATTTCTCCTGAATGGGGAGGACCCTACCCT